ATAATAAGTGGTCCTTGGACTGGTGACATTTACATAGTTAAAGGAGGGGAAGGAAAAACCTGGAAAAGAAAGGTAACAGAGACTACCTAATATAAAACAACCAAAAGCAGAAAAGTTGTGCTCTTTCCAGAGAGATGGTGCAAAATTTGCTGCAACCCACATGCCATTTTTTAAGGGGAAAGGGGAAAGGGGAAAGGGGAAGGGGGAAAGGGGAAAGGGGAAAGGGGAAAGGAAAGGAAAGGAAAGGAAAGGAAAGGAAAGGGAACCCAACTGGCTGAGTTTCCATATGACATGAAGACATTAACTATGGTTTACAAAATGAAATAGTTGGATTTACAGACTACACAAAGCCAAGATAAGGAACACACATTATGATTTGGTATGATGTGTGAACCCAGCCCTGAGTTCAATGGGATATAGTCTTAGGAAATGAACAATAGGATTGCTACCTAATTTATTTCTGTTACTGTATTCAGGGATTCAACTTAAGATATTTTGATTCATAATCATCTATTGGCCTATAAGAAGATACATAATTTACTTTATTTGTGAATGAATTGTATTTCAGATTCTCCATTTCAAGACCAACTAAATTAATATCATACAAAAATCCAGTTGTTGCTGTGGGGGCCATTGACCATCAGGGTGCTAGGAAGTGAATTAAACTTTCCCCCCTTTTCAGTTAAAATGACTGTCCTGCCCAAAATTGCTATTGACCTCAGTAGGACAGCTCCCATTTATTTTCTGTATGTATATATATTTATATAGTCTTGGTCTGTTCAACACACTTTTTTGCTTGGTAAAGAATATTCTGCTTATTTCCCCCAAAATGTCAAGCTCTATCTAGGCCATTGTCAAACTCAAAAACTAAAAGGCAGAAATTCAACACGTAGCTCTTTGATAAGCTAGTTTTATTACATATACCTGCTCTAGAAGAAGCTGCACTAGAACAGAAAACCAGCATCTGCCAGTTATAAACCTAAGAATACAAGCCTTAGGAACCTTCCAGGTTCAAATCTTCTATCTTCTTTTCCTGCCTGTGTTCCCTAACAGAATGAGAGCTGGTTGTTTCTCAGAGAGGTGCTTGACATCCATGCATTGTTATTATAATGGACTTGTCTGGTCTCAGGCTCTTGGTCCATTTAGCCCTCACAAAACATATGAGGAATAGCAGCATGAGAGTAATAGAATGGGCATTGGCAAAACAGGATTGTCCTTTCATACCATTTGAGCAGGTGATAGTACTAGCTATCTAGGAAGGAAGAATTTTTTAATCCTAGGGAGTAGGAAGAATTATTTAAAGTTTGTCTTGTCATATTTATATTGACAAAGAAAGGATAGCTGGCCAGACGCATAGGTATACTCAGTGATGAGCAAGACTACAAACTGAAATTAAAACATGAATTAGCTAGCTGTCTCATTCCAAAATGGGGACGGGAAGATATACAAGATATAGGTAAACAATTTAGCCAACTGGTGCAATTCTCCACCCCGAAGAGAGGTGGAGATTCTTTATTGGAGACTGGAACATTGTCACTTTCAACATTCAGCTTCAGGAACAACGATCAAGCTAATACAAGGTAAGTATTAGGGTTTGGGTTATAGCTTTGGTTTCTAAAAATTGGTGCTTTGCAACCTATTTCCTTTCTTCTGCAGGAATATATCAAGATACCACAAATTATTACATGGCTGAGGTTGGTTACATCTGCTGCCAAACTATAGCTATGGGATTCAATATACTGGAGATTGTAGCTACCATTCTCTTTTCCTGCATGTCCTGGCTATTTGTTGCAGATCTCTTTGAACTGCATTTTGATCCAGCCTGATAATTCATTGGAGGGTGACATAGATGGGCAGTGCTGTGCATGTGAAGGTAAACTAATCTCTGCTTGATGAAAGATCAACTCACCTGACCTAGGACCTTAGAATTTGCACCCTGGAGGACAGGAAGTTGGCACAGTCACTGGGCTATCAGCCCAGGCTTTCCTCAATCAATAACAGAGACAGCTAGCATCCAGCAGTTAAAAAGAAAAAAGAAAAGAACTGGAGCAAGAGTTGGTTCACAAAACATAACTTTGCCAAGCATGTTATTGCTTAATGAAATGCAGTTGAAAGAGCCTGTCTAGAATGTTTAAAGTAAGAGTGCTGATATTTACTGCTCAACCTATCAACACCAAATGTTATGGATTTGCATGCACACACCATGTGATACGCATTCTTGAATTAACTTGTACAAAGTTAAGCCAGTACATTATATGATTGACTTACCCTTGCTGTCTTCTGTTATTCAGTACCACTATTGGATGAGTCTATACTGCCAAAAATTTACTAAGTCACTGTGGGCTTTAAGAGTATCTTTATTGTGATACACAAGAATATTTGTGTAAAACATTATTTCTGCTAACCTGAAAACGATAATAATGTTTAAAATATATCATTAACCTACATTCATTGGTTAGATGCCGTCAAGTCACACTCAAACCCTGTCAATTGTACAGACCACTCTATGCCATTTCAGTTTATCCCTGATGATAATCCACAGCTCTTCCAAGGACATTCCAGTGATCTCTCTCATCCTGTCCATCGCTTATCTTTCCCTGCAAATCTCTTCAATCTTTCTAAGGATAGTTGTTTTTTCTAGTCCATTATCTGCATGTAATGGATGCCCAAAGTATATACATTTCTGCTTATTTATCATGGACCCCAGGAAGTACTGTAGTTAGTTTTTATTTCACCCAGGACTCAATTGTTTAGTTCTTCCTGCAGTCAATGATATTTTTAGCAATCATCTAAACTATAATTCAGAGGCATCTATTTTCTTTCTCTCACTCTTTATCAGCGTCTAGCTTACCACCAGAAAAAAAAAATTGCTTTAACTATTCTAATATTTTGCTATTATAATTATTTTTTATGATCTTGTCTAAGTTTGTGTTAGAATTGTTTGTCTTAGAATTGTTTTTCTTCTTAGATTAATTTCTTTATTTCTCCACACTGTCCAACTTTATCTCCTCTTTTCTTTTGCTCAAGAAAACAAAACTGTTTCATCTTAACTTCTTTGCTGTCAGCTATGAGTACACTAAACATGAAGACTTCAGTTTTGTCTTCTTAATATTTAACATTTAACATTAGCCTGTGCATTTTTACTTTCCATTTTTATTTTCTTAATGAGCTCTTCTAAATTTTCATGATTTTTCAGCTAATTAAATGCATATTTTCAACTGTTAGTGTTTGGGTTTCCAATTTTGTTTCCAATTGTCATCTCTTCCAGTCCTTCCATCTTGTAACATATTTACTGTACAAATTAAATATATATAGAGGGAGAGAATATGCATCCCTTCCTTCTTCTGAACAGGTCTTTTTCTTAAACTTATATTAGCTTTTTGTTCACTGTAGAGGTTCCTTTGAAATTTAATCAGGTATTCTGGCACACCCCTTAGCCTTAATATATTCTACATTCTGGCATGATCTTCACTTGATGACATCAATGAAGCAAAGAAAAAACTCTTAAATTCTTTTGCTGTCTCCATTATCCATCCTAGGTTAGTTATATGATCTCATGTCTTTCTGTTTTTTCTGAAACCTATCTTCTCAGTTAGCATTTCTTTCCCCATTTATGGCTCTATTCTTTGTAAGATCTTAAGCAAAACTTTGCTTGCATGAGGAATTAATGTAATGGTTCAGTAATCTACACATTCTTTTGCTTCTTTTCTGGTCTTAAAGCCTTGGTCCATATTTATTGACATGGAGCTATTCGTAGTTTAACTACCTATTCTTCTGAAACTCTGAACAGTATTTCATCTGCCTTCATTGCCTTTCTGTTTTATAGTTGATTTGTTGCCTCTTATACCCCACTTTTAGTGAACATATTCTTTGGCTATAAATGTTTCTATCATACTATCATTCCATTTATAAAGATTTTCAATATAGTATTTCCATCTTTCTTTAAACTCATTTGCCTCTTTTAGTGCTCTTCTATGTATAGACCTAACTTAACTGAAATTTTTTTTAGTGATTTTTCTGGACTTTTAAAATCACTTCTTTTTCTCATTTTTGTTTTATTTTCTGTTGTTTTATTTATTCTTGATTGCCTTTTTTTGCTTCATGTTGAAAGTTTGCATTCAATCTAATGTCCTTTTTGTTAACCAAAGCTCCATCTTTGTTCCATCAACATCTCCAAATCTATTAATGAAAGTTTGTTCTTCCCAAGTAACCTGAGTGTTTTCTGACCAGGGGGTTCTTTTCATCTGGCACCCAAACTTGTCTAAATGTTCTAGATGCATCTACACAGTTTAATGTCCATAGAAATAATTTGTTATTGCCTTGTTTTAGGTTTAATTTTTAAGAGTTCCTTTCTCTAGTTGAGTTGGCTTCATGCACACCTGTACAGCTTCCCTGCCATCACTCCCTTCTGACCTTTCCTATAAGGGTTACTCTACCAGTAGCTCATAGCCTCACCAGCATCGCTATCAGGGTCACTGAAACTACTGAATTCTTCCACTATGTCAAAGAGATAATCTTCTAGGGTGGATTAAACTAGTATAAAACATTACATTTTCCCCTTTCCCTTCAGATCACAGTGTGCAATTGTATTTGTGTAGAGGAAACTCTAAAGGGGATTTGCAGAATTCAAAGTTCTTGCTCAGTATGAGACTCTGGGTAGGTTCACACATTACAGTGAGGACTGCTAGAAGAAGAAACTTAGGTTTTTTATTTTGCAATTTTTTGTTTTAATCATTAAATATGTGCAGCAAGGCTATCGTTGGAGAGAATCCAATCTTCTGTTTAGTTTTATACTAGACAACCCATGACCATTGTCATTGAATGAAACACTGTCATTGTTTCAGAGATATTTCCTTACCTAAACAGAGAAAGAGAATGACCAAGGGCAAAAAAGCAGTGAGACTGAGTGACTTACAACTTGCTGCTGGCTT